CTCATAGAAAAAGCAGACATTGATCTGCCTCTGAATGAAATCTTCAGGATGCCCATTAGAGTCATACAGGAAATTAGGGAATGAATACAGAAAAAGGATGAATGATAGAGAAGATAAAGCCACACACCAAAGGAAAATACAAAAGTTAAGGGATTACTGAACAGTAGCAAAGAAGATGACAGACTGCACCAACAGATTAGAAGAAGCTGAAAACCGTACCAGTAGTATTGATGATGGCCAGGCAGATTTCAGCAAATGAGAAAAACAAACAAGATAATCAAATAAGCTGAAGAAAACTTTTGTAAACAATGTCTGATGCTATGAAGAGGAACAATATTTGAATAATTGGGGTACCAGAGGAAGACACAACAAAGAAGTCAACTGCAAAAATTGTGAGAGAATTCCTGGAAGAAAACTTCCCTAATTTAATGAATGAAAATCAGGCAACCATTCAGGAAGCCGAGAGGACACCAACTAGACTGAACTTCAGGAAGAACTCACCAAGGCATATAATAGTTGTTATCCAAATTTGAGGAAAAGGAGAGAATCATAAGAGCATCTAGGGAAATAAAGACAGTCACCTATAAAGGTACTCAGATAAGAATATGTTCAGACCTATCAGCAGATCCCATGAAGAAGAGAGAATGGAGTAACATATTCCAAAAGTTGAAAGAGTATGTCAAGCCAAGAATCCTCTACCCCACCAAACTATCTATCAAGATAGCTGGGGAAGAAAGAGTCTTCTCAGACAAAGAAAAACTCAAAGAATTTGTAAAGAGAAACCCAGTGCTACAAACAATTCTTGCCAACTCACTGTACTCAGAAGAACAACAATCACCAAGTACATAAAGGAGATCATCACAGAGAGAAACTCCACTTAGAAGTCAACACACCAAAAAAAAGACCCCAATATAACATTGGCTCAATGGTGAAAAGAAGTCAAGAATGAGCCCCCTACATCTTACAAACAGAACCCCCTGATAAGGAGGGAGGTAGGAAAGCACTCAACACAAAATGTGTGAGATGGCATAAAAGAATCCATAGAAATAGTAATGCTGAAAGTCAATGGTCTGCATTCACCCATTTAAAGACAAAGTCTAGCAGTCTGACTTAGAAAGAATAACACATCAATCTGTTGCCTCCAAGAGACACATATCAAATGTGCACACAAAAATAGGCTGATAATTAAAGGCCGGAGAAAAATATACCAAGCAAGGCAATTTTTAAAACGTAGGGATTGCAATCCTAATTTCTGACAAAATTGATCTCAAGGTGCAAGTCATAACAAGAGATAAGGATGAGCATTATATAATGCTTAATATATCAGTAGACCAAGAGCCAGTGAGCATATGAAATATATACACACCCAATGAGAGACCCACAAAATTTGTCAACCAAATTCTTCAAGAAATGAAAAATGAAATCAAAGGCTCAACAATCATAATAGGTGACTTTAACACACTGCTCTCAGAAAGAGAGATGACTGAGTCAGAAGCTCAACAAGGAGGCTATAGAACTAGATGCTACAATTAGGCAACTTGAGCTAATAGACATTTTTAGAGCTTTCCACCCAAAGCAAAAAATTCACATCCTTTTCAAGTGCACATGACTCATTTAAAAATAGACCACATGTTAGGACACAAGTAAAGTCTGAGTAAATGCAAACACACAGCGTTCACTAAGACTTCCCTCTTGAACCACTATGCAATAAAGCTGGAAATAAAAGGACAAGAAAAATAGGGCAAAAATTGGAGATGAATAACTCTTTAAAATTAGGAAGTTTTAAGAAACCAATGAGAATGAGGATACAATGTACCCAAACCATTGGAGCACAGCAAAAGCTGTTATCAGAGGATGTTTGATATCAATAAATGCACACATGAAAAAGGAAGAGACACTAATGATTGATAAGCTGTCACAGAACTTCCAGAAATTAGAGCAGAGGCAACAGAATAACCCCACTAATAGCAAAGGAAAAGAAATAATAAAAATCAGGGCAGAACTAAACAAGTGGGAAAATAAGAAAATAATGCAAAAAAATTTAATGCAATAAAAAACCTGGCTCTTTGAAAGGATAAATAGAACCAACAGACCGTTGGCAAATCTAACTAAAGAAAGGAAGAGCAAACATCTAATAGCCAGGGTGAGGGAGAGGAGGAGGCAGGGGAAGGGAGTGGTGAGCTAACAAATTCAGAGTGAGGGGAACAACGGGATCTAAAATTGACAAGAGAGTATAGATTGCTTGGTGGTGTCTGATCAATTGCCGTGTAGCTGAGAGGAATTAACAAGAGTTGAATGAAGTGTGAACATAATAGTGGGAGAGGAAGAAAGTAAAAGGAAATAGAGGAAAGAACTAAGAAGTAAAAGCTATATAGAGAGGAATAAATATAGACATGTATATATGTAAATATATTAATATGTAAAGACAGGGGCATTATTCTATGAATATGTATTTATATGTTAAAGTACTAAGGTAGCAGATGGACCTTGGGCATCCACTTAAGTCTTCCCTCAAAACGAGAACACTTTGTTCTAATAACGTGGCACTTTCACCGTCCCTACATGATTGCTGAAGACAAAATGGATGCATAAGCAAATGTGGTGAAGAAGGCTGATGGTGCTTGGCTATTAAAAGATATACCATCTGGGGTCTTAAGGCTCTATGGTAAACAAGCGGCCATCTAGTAGGGAAGCAATGAAGTCCACATGGAAGAAGCACATCGGCCTGTGTGATCACAAGGTGTTGACAGGTTCAGGTGTCAGAGTATCAAAAACAAATAATTATATTGATGTGAAGGAGAGGGGTCAGAGTAGAGACCCAAAGCCCACTTGGTGTTAATAATTGGACATTTCCCTCACAGAAGGGCCACACAGTAGGGACCATTCATCCAGGGTGCAGCATAGCACCAATGAAACACACAACATTCCTCTAGTTCTTTAATGCTTCCTCTCCCCACTATTATGGCCCTAGTTCTACCTCACAAATTCTGTTAGACCGGCGTATGTACATTAGCACAGATAAGAGCTTTTGACACGCAAAATCCAGGGTAGACAAACCCTTCAGAATCAGTAATGGGAGCAACGATTCTATGAGGTTATGGGAAGGATGGGGTGGCGGGTGGGGGAACTGAGAGCAATGATGGATGCATACATTACCCCCCTTGAGGGAGACGAATAACAGAACCATGGGTGAAAGGATACATTGGACAGTGTAAGACACGAAACAATAATTAAAATAGCATATAATTTTATAACAATATATAATTTATTAATGGTTCACAAGGGTGGTAGGGTAAGGGAGGGAGGATATAAAGAAGAGCTGATATCAAGCAGAAAAAATGTTTTAAAAATGATGGCAGCATCTGTACAAGTTCACTTGATATAATTGATTTATGGATTCTTGTAATATCTGTAAGAGTCCCCAATAAAATGGTTTTTAAAAAGTTATATGGCTTACGAATTGGGAGAGTCAAAGTACTCAGATGAGAGTAAGTATCTTGAGCCAGCTTGCTATTTTCATATATTCCACTGCACTATCCTCCTTATTTTTAGTTATTAGTTTTTAAATATTTTTGCACCAGTTATTTCAATGTTAATAAATATTTAGTCATGTTTCTAAAATTATACAGATTTGTATTTCTTAATGGCTATCTAACATTGCCATTATGCAATGATGGTGATGCAGAAATACCACTTTACTATTCTGAGCACTTTAACTATTCTTCTTTTGTTGGGCTTTTACTACTTGTGTGTATATTGTCTACTTGGACGCAGAGAAGCAAAGGTAAATTACATGATTTACTTGGGCAATGTGCATGCAGAAAATGGGTGACAGAAGATCAGTTGTTCTTCCCTCCTTGTTTGTTTGTACCAGAATCCTTTATTGTTTACATATATTTTTGCCTCTGTGCCATTTTCAGAAGCTTCATTTGTATCACTTCCTTGTTTTGGTTTGGATAATGCTTAAATATACAACCCATCTGTGAAGCATATTGTATATTCACATTGAAGGCTAAAATCCCACTTTTAATTAAAACTTTATTCAGCACTCATGGTTCACTTTGTCCTTTTTTATTATGAAACACTTCAGCCTTCTTGCTAAAACACATATGTCTTGTACATTTCAAGATGTTCCTTGTTGCTCATGCAGAACTAGGCTCTTTAGGCTGTCAGCTCATGGCCATATGTTCCGGCTGTTCATTTTGCTTCCCTTTCTGGCATTTGTGTAGCAACATCTTGTATGCAATGCAAGTTAGTTTTATTCCCTTCCCTTTTATAAAACCTGTCAGAAGGTAAAATAGCAATCTGGAAACATTGAATAATACTCTGGCATGTTATAAATGATAATAAAGCATGTAGCCTTAAGTTCTTAAGGCTTATAAGATTTGAAGAGAATATGTGAGGCCTGAAGTCTTGCCAGGTATGAATGATTATAATTGATACTGCTTGAACTATTTAGTAATAGCACACATTACATAGATTATAAGTAATCCGTATTGATTATTTAACCAAGTGTGAAGTTGTGGGGGAGGAGAGACATAAACATCAGATAATCTCTTGTACTTTAACCCATTTCAAAAACACAAAACACACCATAGTGACTTTCTTTCATTTGAAAATTTTTGCAGCATTGTCCACACCACCCAACTGGATTTTGAGATAAATTGTGTTATGTAACAAGTTAGGCTATAACCACTGATAAGATCATTTAAAAGGAAGTCATGCGGAACTTGAATCTGAATTGGGAAAGGTAGTGATTCCTAGATGGTATTATCGTTTCCTTTGTCTTTAAAGGAAATTAGAAGTCATGATCAGCTCCACATTCTCCATGATATAAAGCCCCCAAACAGTAAAGCTCATTCTTTGAACCTTAACAAGTGACTTTCAAGTATTTGAACTTGGCAAGGAGTTAAACTTTAATTTTATTGTTTGTTCTAATGTATGGGATAGTTCCTAACCTTCTTAAACAGAAGTTACTAAACACAGTTTAGTGGTTTCTGCATGATCCGGGCTTACCAATTTGAACACCAGATGTATTGCTGGTGTTTCTAGAGGGCCACTGAGTTGGAGTAAAGCCATTTGTTCTTGCAGTGTCTAACTCCATCCTGTCTTTCTGTTTCATGAAGTTTCTAGCACTAACGGTACGTGTCTTTGATGTTTTCTTTTTATTTTTCGATTTGCTACTTATGATAAAGAGTAAGGTTGAAGATCAGGTTACCTGTTTGGTATAATACAGGAATGGAAAGCACTGATGTTATAGTATTGACTTCAACTACTATGGGTAAGTTTCATGTGCTTCTGATTGCATCTGAGGAACCTGTGTGACACAGTGTTAGGTTAAACGCTGAGCTAGTAACAGCAGTGTAGGTGGCTCAACTGCTAAACTTGTGCTCGCAGCCCAACTGCACCCCCACAGCTTGATCGCTGTGTCCAAATAGATAGAGAAATAGGCAAATATGGTCTAGCATTTAGGTTAACAGTTAGCAGTAAACTAAGGTTCTAATTTAATGAAATGAAATCGAATCATGCTAATCTTGTGGTTAGCTTATTGCTATGAAATTTTATGGCTTGACTGTTGTAAGAGAGTAGTATAAATGTAGTGTTTAGACTACACTTGTATTTCTTTATATGCTGATTTGCTGTATCATACACTTCCAGATTGATTAGAGTGTATTTTCAACTATCATATCTGCACAATGTGCGATTCCAGTACAGACACATATTTAGAGTTTTTCCTTTCTGAAGCGGATACATTTTATCAATTAGAACACAAATGGAAGAACTAGAATATAGTACTTTGTATGTTCTATGCAGCCTTAGACAGTTTCCATACATACTATCTGAATTACCTTACATGCTCATATAATTGCTAAGAGCTCCTTACATTAAGACATGTAGAAACGCATACTAAGTGTACAACTCTAGTAGGTCACATGTTTGTTCTTTCCAAGGACTTCTGTGAAGCATTTTGTGACGAGAACAGTTCTAGGTACTAAGAAAATGGGATTCAGAGATGAATAAGACCTCATCCCTGCTATTGAAGCATTTAGGAGTCCGACATTGTCCTGAGGAGAAAGACACAAATGGGTGTGCACTCAACCTGGAAAGCCAGGTAATACATATAAACAATTTCAATTGTAAGCTCTAAAGGCTGAGGGTAAAGTGAAACAAGAGCATGAAAGGTGTGGGATAAGGGGTACAATGAGAAAACAATTCCTTTCTCAGTTGAAGGAATAACAGAAACACGTACTCAATCTAACGTTATGAATCGAGAGTTGTATCCATTCAACACTTTTGAATGCTGCTCCTACCCTCGGAAATATAGAAAATATCCCGGTATTTACCAAGTATTCTGAAGACAAAGAGGACACATGATTACCTAATTCTAATGGTGGGGTGAGGGTGTGTGATAAAGGTCCAGGGGAATTTTTATTTGTGCTGTTGTTCATTGCCATTAAGCTGGCTCTGACTTGTGGCAACTTGTGTCTAACCTAACAGGACATTGCCCAGCTCTATGCCACCTTCGTGATCATTGGTATGTTTGAGGACAGTGACTAAAACAGCTACGGTGGTGGTGCATCCCCTTGAGGGTTCTTCTTGTTTCCACTGACCCTCTACCAAGCATGATGTCATTTTGTAGCAATTTGTCTTTCCTAGTGACGTGTCCAAAACACAACAGCTTAAGTAAGAGATGAGCAGAGACATATTGCAGT